CCCGGCGCTGTCTGGCGGCCAGGCCCGCCGGAGGAAGCAGCCACCGCGGCCGGCCGACTTCAAGCTGCAGGTCATCATCATCGGTTCCCGAGGCGTGGGCAAGACTAGCCTGATGGAGCGCTTCACCGACGACACCTTCTGCGAGGCCTGCAAGTCCACCGTGGGTAAGGGCGCCCGCGGCCCTGAGCCTGGGCCCGCACCCGGGGTGGCCCTCCTCGGCCTGCCTCGTCCCTGACCCGTGGTGGCCCTTCTCCTTCGTCCTCAGCACCTCTGGAGGCCCGCCTCGGCTGGCCGCTTCCCTCTCACGGGGCCCCGGCCCCTCCTCGGTTGGCCTCAACTCTCCCGTGAAGTCCCTTCCCTCCGTCCCGAGCCCCCTCCTCTCACCCCCCTCCTGATTACCCGGGTCGGGAGTGGAAGGGGTCGGGGGCTTCTTCCGGGAAGCCCCTCACATCCTGTTCTCAAAGCAGAGAGCTTTGCCTGTAGTCTCCACGCCGACCTGACCTTGGGCCTCTCCAGCCCCGGACTCCCCTGGTCCCGATGCCCAGGCCCTCCCCTTCCCGGGCGGGGGCTGATCATTGTGCACCGCGGGCCTCTGGTGACCAGCTGCGGTCTGGGTGGGAGGTATTGTCGCTCAGCCCTGGGAACACAGGACCAGGGACACGATCCCTCCTCCCCACATTTAAGGTCTCTCCGCAGACAGAATGACAGCGCTGTGGGGCCGCCAGAATGTCTGTAAGCAGCAGGCTAAGGGGGCTTCTGTGCCAGGACTTGGAACCCCGTTATGATTATGTTTTTATGATACAATCAGATAATGATGTTTAAAATGAGAATATTAACATTAAAAGCGTGTCAAAAACGTGTTTTAGCCAAAGGTTCAGGCAGAGAGAATGCTATTGTATTGATCATGGCCTCAGTAAACGCAGTTCTTGCAACAGTGTGGACAGTTGTTGTAGCACCGGGTCAGTGAAGTAGAGCAGTGGGGAAAACATCTTAGGTCTCCAGCTCCGGAAGTAGTGGAGCCTCCGGATCTAAAGCCCTGATGGCCTCAGAGGTGGTTCTAATGAAGTCATGTGTGCAAGACGTGGGTGATGGGTCTTTTCTTGGGAAAAACTTCTTGAAAAGGAGGGGCACCCCAGGTGGTTTATCAGAATGAGGGGATCCATCACCTTCAGTGATAAGCAGTTAGTAATTTACCCAGGTATGCCTTGAATTGTTTTGTTTTTAGTAATAGTTCTTGGCATTCTAAATTCAGAATTAAAGTACCATTCCATATATTTATACAAGGTTTTGAGAGCCCTCACTGGTTTAATTGGAAATTCTTAGCCTATTCCTGTGCTCAGAAGGCATCTAGACAAACCCTTGCTGGTTATTTAGAACCCTGTAGAGGCATGTGTACATGAACTGTAAAGAATACAATAAAATTTTGAGATTAATTGTTCTTGTGCTGTACACAATACTGCATTTAACTTTTTTTGTGTTTAAAATACCAGATTGGGAAATGAAATCCCCCAGTTTTATTTATGATCTTTTAAAAAAATGTTAGAATGGGTTATTTTGGAAATCGTTACACTTTGTTTTTAGAATGTTAACCTTGAGACTGTAGTATCAGATTTGATGGCACAGGATAGGACAGTGTTCAGATCTGTTTTTCAGAGAGCCACTGTGAGTCACAGTCAACTTGGATCATGTAGATTTTAGGAAATTATAACCTTGTTAATTGAGGGTTAAATAATAATTTTAGTATCTTATCTAAGCAAAGTAGAAATCAAAAGAATTCGGAATGAGCAATCCTTTATACATCTAAACTTAAATATCTAAAAATGAGTGGATAATATAGTAGTTGATACTGATGAAGAACAGGCAGGACAGGAGTAAGTTGATAACTGTGAAAGCTTGTTGGGTGGAAGTGAGATTTGAGATGAGCAAAGGTCTGCTTTGAGCAGTAAAGAGGAGAGATGAAGGGCTTCAAAAGTAGGGCCCCCTTGGAGCAACACAGCCCACATTCAGAGAAAGGTTCATTAGGGCACATTGAGAATGAGTTTGTCAGGACCATAACTCTGACTTTATCTTGTGGACAGCTAGAACCATAAAGTTTTCTTGGTAAGATGCTGACAGGAGAGTACAATTAATTCTGCAGGATTGCAGACTCAGATATTTGGGTATGAGAAAGAAGCCGAGAAACAAGGAGAGCAGATAGTGTTTGTCTACCTCACAACCAGACATAAAGGGACACACACATCACCTCGCCCTACAGTTGCATTTATGTCTTGCCACCACCATGGTGCAGGTGAATTTTTTAGTCTCATTTGTGTCTCCATATGGGCTTTACAGTGCTTAGCTGGGTGCATGCATATTAATGAGTTAATTCTTTGTTAAAAAGCTTTAGGAAAGCCTCTAATGCTCCCTGCGTCCCTTCAGCCTCCACCTCAAGTTGCCTTATCCTTCTGCACTAGATCATTTCTGAGCCCCTACTATGTACTAGGTGATCTGCCACCTGCTGGGGACACTCAGGGCAATCTCTGTTGGCACATGGAGTGGCGCTCTGGGACTAGTCAGCTTGCTAAGGTCAGGGGTAGAGATGTGTGTGGACTGTTCGCAAAGCAGGTGGAAGTGCCTATGCTCTGGGGCGAGGCATGCGGCTGGTCAGAGAAGGCTTCTTCCTACTGGAATGTTGTGAAAGTAAAATCATTCCTCCAACAGTGGTGGGTGTAATGTAAAATCAAGGTAACCTATGGTTTCAGCAGTTAACTCCTAAGGTCCTTCTGAGGCCAGTTTTTCAAGCTTCATCTCCATATAGTTCAATTCACATGGAGGAGTCTTTTCTAGGGTGGAAGAAAACTGTCCTCTACCTTGTCCAGACTTGCAAGGATGCAAGGGCTCCCAGAGACTCCAGGCAGGCCAGACCAAGGTGGCCACTCAATGGGGGTGTCAGGAAATTATGAGGCCGGGGAGGGTATCATTAGCAGGTGCCTTTTTAAAGTGACTTGGACTCACTTGTTCTTTCTAGAAAATATTTGGATGTGGTGGTGGTGTTCTGCAAAGTTGGAACTGACTCATAGCTTAGATGACCCTCCAGCGGGTTTTTAGAAGCATTTAATCACACAAGAAGAGATTGCCCATCCTTCTCTTGTGGTGGCAGTTGGTTAGTCTTTCTAGAAAAGATTTGCATAGAAGGGCTTAATTATGAACTTACTATGTAATGTCAGTAAAATGTTGAGGGGTTTGTATGGTTGAAATTAGAACTTGAATTACTAAAAGACAAAATTTGCAAGAGTATAAAAAATTAAAAAATACTGTTTTAATACTTGATATACTTAATGGACATTTTTGGAAGCAGGAGTGGCATCCACTTTCTAAACAACCTGCCTCTGGAAACTCTGTGAACTTTGATAAATGACAGTGGTTCTCAATGGTTATAGAATGGCCTCAGGTCTTTTGTTCATAGGTTCACTATTGGTTGTGCCCGACTCATCATCAGCCAATAACAACACAATGAGTATTGTCTAGATGAGATATTTTTCTGGTTGGATTTTGTATTAACGGGATTATTTAATGTGGTATACCTAAATAATAGACCTGACGGATTAAAAAGTGCAGGCGAGATAATAGTTAGTTAGAGATTTACAATACATACATATTGTTGCTATGCATTTCACCAACAACTATTTGTGAGGATGTGGAGAAATGCTTGTAGGAATGGAAAAGGGTAAAAACCACTGCAGAGAAAATTTGGTGGTTGCTCAAAAGATTCAATGTGGAACTGTCCTGTACCCAGAAATTCCATTCCTGGGTGTACACTCCAGAGACTTGAAAACAGCAGTGCCCTAAACCCCAGATCTGCAGTAGGTATCACTGTTCACAGTAGTAAGAAGTTGAAAGGAAGCAGCTGACATGTCCACCAAGAGATGAATGGGTAGACAAAGTCAGTCCTGATAGTTGTAATAAACATGTTGTTATGTGTCATCGAGTCACTTGCAACTCATAGGGATCCTATGTACAAGAGCTCTAAATGCCATTCTATCCTACTATCCTTCTATCTAGCCAACTTAGCCATCTCAAACACACTCATTTCCACCACTCCAGTCACAGAATCGATCCATCTCATCGAAGGTCTTCCTCTCCTTCCCCACCCCTCCACTCTGCCAAACATGATGTCCCTCTCCAAGGACCAGTCCCTCCTTGCAACATGCCCAAAGTGTGTCAGACGAAGCTTCAGACTCCAAGAAGCATTCTGGCTTCACCTTCTCCAGGACAAACCTGTTTCTTCTCCAAGCAGTACGTGGTATATTCAACGCTCTTTTCCAGCACCACAGCTCAAAGGCATCAATTCTTCTGTCATCCCTATTCACTATCCAACTCTCTGATGCATAGCATGTAATTGCGAACACTATAGCCCGGATCAGGCGCACCTTAGTCTCCAGCCTTATGTTGCTCTTCAGTACTCTTGAGAGGTCCCTGACTTTCCCAGTGCAATTCATCTCTTGATTTGCTGGCTGCTGATACCAAGAGTGTTGACTGTGGAACCAAGTAAACTAAAACTGTTAAACTGTCTCAATCTCTTCACCATCCATACTGATGCTGCCAATTGGCCCAGTGATGAGAATCTTTGTTTTCTTGATGTTGAGCTTCAATCCATATAGGAGGCTGCAGCCCTTGACCTTCTGCAGCAAGCGCTCAGGTCCTCCTCAGTTTCAGCGAGCATGTTGATGACTCTTCCACCAATCCTGATGCCACATTCCTCCTCATACAGACCAGCGTCTAGGATGATCTGTTCTGCATACAGATTGAAAAGGCATGGAGACAAAATACATCCCTGACGGACCCCCTTCTTGATTTTGAACCATGTAGTGTCTCCCTGCTCTGTTCTGGCGACTGTCTCTTGGTCCAAGTATAGGTTTCGCATTAGCACAATCAAATGTTCTGGGATTCTCATTCTTCTTAGAGTCAGCCACAGCTTGTTGTGATCCACACAGGCAAAAGCCTTTGCATAGTCAGTAAAGCACAGATAGACATTCTTCTGGTATTCTTTGCTTTCTGCCAAGATCCATCTTACATTAGCTATAATATCCCTAGTACCGCGACTTCTTCTAAATCCAGCCTGTACATCTGGCAGTTCTCTGTTGACATATTGTTCCAAACGTTTTTGGATATTTTTCAGCAGAAT